GGTACACGTATCCCCAGGGAGTACGAGAAGCTTGTCAAGGAGTATGGGGAACATTTGGTAAATAACTAGATTATCCTAATTGAAATATTCCAAAAGTAGTAGTGATAGTGGAAAAAGTTGTGGATTCTAGAATTTATTTCCTTTCATATTGAATAGGGGGTACAGGAAGGTTTACTAAAAGCCAAGAGGGTACGGGGCCCGAAAAAGGTTGAGAACCCTGGTCTAGACTATGTGTGATAGATATTTATCTAACCTACGCTTGAATATCTCCAGAGATGGAGATTCCATAATCTCCCTGGGCAATTTATTCCAGTGTTTGACTACCCTGACAGTTAGGAACTTTTTCCTAATGTCCAACCTCAACCTCCAACCTCAACCTCCCCTGCTGCAATTTAAGCCCATCCTCAGAGGTGAAGGAGAACCATTTTCCTCCCTCCTCTTTGTAACACACTTTTAGATACTTGAAAACTGCTATCCTGTCCCCTCTCAGTCTTCTCTTTTCCAAACTAAACAAGCCAGATTCTTTCACTCTTCCCTCCTAGCTCATGTTCTCTAGACCTTTCATCATTTTTGCTGCTCTTCTCTGGACCTTCTTCAATTTTTTCACCTCTGTCTTGAAATGGGGGGGTCACATGAACTGGACATAATACTTCAACCGAGGTGTAATCCCCACAAAGTAGAGCGGAAGAACAACTTCTCGTGTCTTGCTCACAACACTCCTATTAATGCAGCCCAGAATCATGGTGGCTTTTTTTTTTTTTTGCAACAGCGTAGATGTAGGCATGTTAGGTGTACGTTGCTTGTATAGGCCCCTTTACATCCCTCGAGCATTTTAAGTAGTATTAAGATAAATGAAAATTGGGTCATTAGAGTGTGTAACCACACTAACAACCGCAGCTTTCTTCTACAAGAGAAGTCTGAAAACATTTACTGATGATACAAACCCTGTAATAATAAGTGTTGTTAATTCTAGGAAGCTGTCTACAAAACAGGATGCCTTCTCTTCACTTCCCACTCCGATGAAATGATTACTTTTGCTTATTTCACCTACACTCGACCACATCTGGCGATACTCCACTCACAATATTCACTCGATACTCTGGCTTTCTGATTCGAGTGGAATCTATACTGGTCATTTGGTTTTCCCTCCTCTTTCAACTTGCACGTTAAGAAGGGAAAGTCCCGTGGGGTTATGGAAAATGATTCACTCAATTTAGCAATGGTTTGATCAGGACAATCTCCTTCTTTTGACTTGTGACTGATTTATTTTCCCCCTAAATGAACCTAAAAACTCCAAACATCTAATCTTCCACAATGTTTTTTTTTTTTTGACAATAAAAATGGCACTAAAGAGTCATCAAACGCTGCCAAGCAGATCAGTTCCGCGCAGGTGGATTTGAGGGGGGGCGATTCTTGAGACGTTTTCATCGGGTCGAGCGACTGCCCTGTGTTTTTTTTCCAGCCAGCTTCCCAAGTCCTTGCCACTGCCGTGGTGTGCAGACTGAAAGTGAGCACTGTGCATTAGGGATGTAATACTATAGTCGATTAATTGATTATCCGATAAGCATTAACTGATTCTGGGATGCATTCACAGGTGTGTTGTGAGCAAGACACGAGAAGTCATTCTTCCGTTCGACTCTGCGCTGGTTAGGCTTCAGTTGGAGTATTGTGTCCAGTTCTGGGCACCACATTTCAAGAAAGATGAGGAGAAATTGGAGAGGGTCCAGAGAAGAGTAACAAGAATGATGAAAGGTCTAGAGAACATGACCTATGAAGGAAGGCTGAAAGAATTGGGTTTGTTTAGTTTAGAAAAGAGACGATTGAGGGGGGAATTGATAGCCGTTTTCAGGTATCTAAAAGGGTGTCATAAGGAGGAGGGAGAAAACTTGTTCATCTTGGCCTCTGAGGATAGGACAAGAAGCAATGGGCTTAAACTGCAGCAAGGGAGGTTGAGGTTGGACATTAGGAAAAAGTTCCTAACTGTCAGGGGAGTCAAACACTGGAATAAATTGCCCAGGGAGGTTGTGGAATCTCCATCTCTGGAGATATTTAAGAGTAGGTTAGATAAATGTCTATCAGGGATGGTCTAGACAGTATTTGGTCCTGCCATGAGGGCAGGGGACTGGACTCGATGACCTCTCGAGGTCCCTTCCAGTCCTAGTATTCTATGATTCTAAGCAAAAGCTTAAAGGTTAATGCTATAGACCAGTGTTTCTTGAAGTGTGTTCCACGAGGCAGTTGGAGGTGTTCCACAGAGAACAACAGAGTTCAAAATGGCTGCCCTTAAAGAGACAGGTGACCTTTATTTTTGCTCAATATCTTTCCCCCCAACCTTTTTTTTTTTTTTTGCTCAACAAAAAAATCCTTGGTGTTCCTCATAAAAAAATATTATTGCTTGGTGTTCCTCGGTCTTAAAAAGTTTAAGAAACACTGCTATGGCCTACAGCCAGTCCCCAAGTTACAAACTTACGACTGTTTGTATTTATAACCAACCTCCTATACAGCCGGCCCCTGAGTTACGAACGCATCGACTTATGACCATTCGTATTTACGACTAACCTCCTATACAGCTGGTCCCCAAGTTACGAATGCATAGACTTACGACTGTTCATATTTACAACCAAGCTCCTATACAGCTGGTCTCCAAGTTACAAATGCATCGACTTACGACCATTCGTATTTACGACCAACCTCCTATACAGCTGGTGCCCGAGTTACAAACGCATCCACTTACGACCGTTCGTATTTACGACCAACCTCCTATACAGCTGGTCCCAGAGTTACAAACGCATAGACTTACGACCATTCATATTTACGACCAACTTCCTATACAGCTGGCCCCCGAGTTATGAATGCATAGACTTACGACCATTCATATTTACGCCCAACCTCCTATACAGCCGGTCCCCGAGTTACAAATGAAATCCACACTTACGAACGGCTCGGCCGTACTTAAGTGAATGTAATCTGACTTACAAACAGATTGAGTTATGACCAAGTGCTTGGAACGTAACTCGGTCTTAAGTCGGGGACTGGCTGTACATGCATTTCCCTCCCCCATCCTGGACGGAGGCTGCTGCCACCCTGAGCTGCTGCCTCTGTATCAGGACAACAGGTGGCTAGTCCATGAAGGGAACTGGTTTTTCAACTGGCTCCCCTTACGGACCAGCTCCCACCTGGCCCCCCGCGCAGAGTGGTAGGGGACTCCTTGGGAGTGGGGCTGGACGGCACTGGCCGCCAGCCCCGCCCCCAGGGACTAACCGATACAAATTCATGAGGTTATTCAACTATCCAATTCACCAAAATTTAACTTCCCTACTGTGCACACGGTGTCTGATGCCATGAATAGAACATGCTGTCACACAAAGGATGTCGGGGCATGATTCAACCGGAGCAAACGAGTTACCACCCAAACCGTTCCTGGTTTTGCACCGATGATGGAAGAAATAACAGTCAGAAGGAAACCAGAGGCTGTATTTCTGAGAAAGATGTGGTTCCAGTCTGATAAAGATTAACCAGGGCACAGATCTTCATCTCGGACAGACCAGCAGATGGCACAGGGTCCCGATAGGGATAGTTTAGCTGCGGAAAGGCAAAGCTCTCTAGGCAGCACATTTTTATCTCTGAGTTGGAAGGTCAAGGGTTCAACGCCGCACAAGACTGTTTAGGCGTCTCTTCGAAGCTTACACTCCAGTGAAGTCCTACCGGGTAGCTAGAGATGCCACTCTTTGAATTAGCTGGACTTGCTGAGTGGATGAAAGATGGACAACCACCCATTTCTGCACGACTGCTGTTGCCGTGGAAATGTCTCCCTAGCAACAGGAGCCATGACAACACCGTGGAATCGCCATGCCTAGAGGGTTTGAAGTCCTAGCTTGACCAAGTCCTACCTGGGATGAGTTAGGGTGAAGGGCGGGGAAATGGGCCGTTGGGGTCGAAACGGTGCTACAACCATGCCCAACGGCATGACTGATGTTGCACTGGAAATGTCACCCTAGCAACAGGAGCCATGACAACACCGTAGAATCGTCATCCCTAGAGGTTTTGAAGGCCCACTTGACCAAGCCCTGGCTCGAAGGATTGAGTTGGGGTTGGTCCTGCTTGGGGCAGGGGGCTGGACTTGATGACCTCTTGAGGTCTCTTCCAGCCCTGGGGTTCTGTGATCTGAAATAGGAAAATATTCATTTTAGACATTATGGCGAGTGAATATTGATTTTTCAGTGGAAACCACTGTCTAGAACCCCAAATACAAAACGGGATACAATCAACTGTAGGCTATACAGGCCCGATCCTGATCAATGTTCCGAAAAATGGGCTTTGTAGAGAGGTCGTCTGCAGTGCTTCGACAAACCTGTTACCTAAGAACCAACAGAGCTGCCGGGAACTTCCTCCTGGGCTGCAGATGGGAGATCCCATGTTGGCCGGTGGATCTAAATAATTCCCACGTACTCCCTGACGCCTAGAGGGAGTGAAGCCAGGTTCGGCCAATGAGCCGTCCAGTCTGGTTGTCTTTCTTCACGACAGCCGGTACTCCAGGGAGATGTGCAAAAACTCTTGTAGCAACAGGCGAATAAACTTTCAACACAGACGTTTCCTCCGTTGTGATTGCGGCCCCGTC